ATTCATAATAATAATAACAATGTGTAATAAGCAATTATGTATGTAAATGACTTTGTAGAGTAAAAGTATGGCATCAGGCATGGTGGAATGGCAATATGTGCCTTAATGTTCGAGCACATTATAGTGTGATTTTTCTTTCATAACTTTTTTAACGTTTACGTACATACATATATACTTACATATATAACATCGTATAACAATTTTATTTTGCACATAAAAAGCATTATACTTGTACATGGAAAAACAAGTCATACTACAAAACAAATATAAAAAACAAAGATGAAAATCAAATTAAAAACCGGTTTTAAAAAAGTTTCTCATAATATGAGTAACAATTTTTACCTTTTTTTAAATTAATACATAGTATATACATATATGTATATAATGCTTACACACCTTTCTATATTATGTTTTATGTGGTATTAACTCATATACACGATTGTATGTAAGGTATGTATGTGGATATGATTTTAATTGGCAAATCGGAGTAACCATAAAATGATCTTCTTATTGAACAAAATGAATTATCACGTTTTTTTGTTTTTTCTATCGATATGTATGTATGTATGCATCTATATGTATGTATGTATGCACATTTTAAATATTAAAGATTATAACCGTATATCGTAATGCTGCACGTATAACAAAAAAAAAAATAAAAATTTTAACCAGCATCAAAATCTTTTGAATGCGGTTTTAGTTTATACATAAATGGATATATACATTTATAAAATAGTTAGGTATGCTTAGTGTTTGTCTTAAATTTATGTATGTAATTCAGATTATGTTAAATTTATGATGAAAATAAATTGATTTATAAAATTCTCAAGGCTAATATAACCTTATTTAACATGTACATATAAATTTATGTACTATATAACTGTACGGTTGTATATTATATTATTATATATGAAGGTATGTGTAGAAATCGAAAGAACATATTTGTAATTATTAATAGACTCACTAATTTCTTACATAAATTGATCATTTCAAGTATTTAAAATCAATGATATAGTATGTAGATTTTGTTTGTATACGTAAATGCTGGATGTCATGGTTCATTAAAAGTCGTTGATTTTTTTTCGTATTGATTATTTTACGTAAAATAAGTAGATTCTAAATGAACATACATAACTTGAATTTAAATTAAAATATAATTTTTTATTGATTAATATTAAATAATTTAAAAAAAATACTGCAAATTGCCTAGAAATGTTAATACAATTATTGCTTATGAATAAATATTAATGACAATTGCTCATGAAATTTTATATAACAGTGATATTTAGCTTTCAATTCGTAAAATTGAAATTATTGATAATTAAATCTGATCTGAAATCAATTTTATTATAAAAATTTTATTAACAATTTTTTTCAAAAATGGTCATGTTTTTATTTTTATATATTAAATATGAATTTAATGTACTTATAAGATTCTCGACGACATGTTGAAGATTATAATCTATATATGAGTTTATATAGCACTAAATTATTACTTGAAATCAAACATATGATACAGCAATTTGTGAATTTTTTACAAAATTATTGAATTATTAAATTAAATTTAGTTTTTAATTTTCATACAAAACACTAAATAAAAGTCTAAAATTTAACACTAATAATGAATGATATTATTGCCTCTTTATAACTTCTATCTATGGCATCGACTGGTATTGCTAAAAAAGAATAACATTTGGCAGAATTTAATGATAAATTTTGTTATTATATGTAAAAGTATAATATTTCTACGTTCTACAGCAATTTTATAAAATTAATAATGCTCCATTCCCCCATTCATTTTATACCATTATGTTATACTTATTGTTATATGCCTTATTTTTTACCTGTATTTCGTTTTTTATAAGTCAGGTAAAATGGAAAAAAAATTGTAACAAATTTTTATCAAACAACATACTTACGTGTAAATATACACAATTCACATTTGTATGTATGTACATAAATTCACAATTGATATTAAAGTTTTATATATCTACCTGATTTATGTTAAGATTTCAGTCCCATTTTTAATGTTATATACTACACACACAGGCATGCATTTTCATATGTCGTTTTACATGCTTTCATGTGTTGAAAAAAAATTATACTCGTATTCATGCTATCAATTTTAGGTGAACATAATGATTGTGTATGAACAGTATATTACACACATATGTATGTATATACTTGCGCCTTGTATGAATACAGAAATATACGATATAAAACAAATGTTATTATTTATTCAATTTTTTCTCTTTTTATTTTTCTCTTTTTTTGAAAATTATTGTTTGGTTAATGGGGAGGTAAATATCTTATTTCATAATTTTAGCATGATATACAACAATTTTTTTTTATATATTTTTCTTTTTGAATAATAAATAAAGTACGGAGAAAAAAAAATCATTATGATATTTTCAAAGAGATTTAATTATAAAAAATGAAAATAATAGAATTTTCTGTTACACGAACATAACATAAATGTGTGTTATATTGCATGTGATGTTAGTTATATTGTAGCCTTTTACATACTTACTTGCACATATGTATATAAGTTATGTACATATATATGTAACTAAAAAATAAGCGCATGTAACACGAACATTGTACTTGAACTTTACCGGTTCATCAAATATATTTTCGTTTTTTCGAAATGGAATGCATGTCACAAATTAATTTTCGATATTTTTTATGTTAAGCAAAAAAAAAATTAACATAATTATTTAATTTTGAATTTTTCAATATTTTTAAATTATTCTGGCATGAATTTGAGTATTAAAATTAAATAATATGATTTTAATAATTTAATTTCACTCATCAACTATTTTTAATTATTTTTAAGAAAATATTAACAAATTATTTATTCCGAATTTGTCATCGTCTAAATATCATAATTAAATTAAAATTTTATTAAAATCAAATATGATATACAGAAGTATATCAAATACACAGAAATATAACTGTTATAATTGTTACATTCGGAGTGATTTCGGACTAAGTAATTTGTAAAAAACACCGGAAATGTATGAAAGTTTTTTTTTGAATTTTTGAGTGAAAAGCAATTTATTAATTTAAATATTCAGGATTTTACATTCACTTCTGTTATTTATAAAAATAATGCAGTCATTTAAGTAGCGGGAACAAATGTAGGAAATTACTCTTTTTAACTACTCCTATTGTGTATGTTTATATATCTGAGTTGAGTGTGGTGTAAGTGCCAGTTATTCAACATATTTAGAATAATTCTATAAATTATGAATTATGCAAAATTAACAATTTCAAAATAATTTGTTTTATACATTATGTATAACAAAACAAGGTGCAAAATATAAAATGGCTTAAGGTTAAAATAAATTACAAATAGTTATCTAATTGAATCTAGTTATATATATAAAATTCTTAATACTTAAATTGTCTTGAAATCAAATTTTGTGGATCTTTTCAAAATTATTAGAAGTTTCTATTTTTAAAATTCAGTTTTTTTTTCTAATTTGATAAGTAATAAAAATTTCTTGTTATTTTCAAAAAAATGCCTTATAACTGTACTTGTTAAGGTATACATAGTTCTTTCTTTCTGTAAATAATTCGAATTTTCTCCAGTATAATCAATTTCCCGCCTAAAATTTGATTATTTTGATAAAAATGATAAAACAACCACCCTTTTTTTTTTAAAAAAAAGTATGGAAATTTGTACGCTATTAAAAAAATTTCTTGGACTTCGGATATTTTTCCTAAAAAGAACAGAAATATTTTCGGAATAGGTTTAAATTATCTGCTACAATTGTGTGTCGAAATATAACTTCGAAATTCAAAGGGTAATGACAAAGTAAATTTAATTTTTATTTTTCTTTCTTTCTAAAAGTTTTGTAAATTTACGATTTAATAAAATTCAATTAGCGTTGCTTAGACTGCAATTAAATTAGTTTTTTTTTTAAATATCACATGTCTTACAAATTACTAAACAAATATTTTAAAATAATAAAAAAGGAAGTTGTTGTACTTAAGATTAAAAAAAATTTATAATTAAAATTTATTATCTTGTATGATAAAATTTAATAAAATTGTAATTTTCAATTCTTGAACTTTCAACCACCCCACAACAAAAATTTGTATGTATGTATTTAAATTTTTTTTCTTCTTTTTATCTTTTAATTGTTCTATAATCTATAGAATAAATTTACTATGAAAAGTAATTAATATTCATTAAGAAAATGGCGTTAGAATTGAAGTTCTAAAATATTTTATTTAAATTTCTGTTTTTTTTTCATATTTAAAACCACCTGTGTATATACACAAAGTTCAAATATTTGTACAAGTAAGAATTAAATTTATTTGTTCAAATGAAATTGTCTAAAGTTCGCACTTTTCTATTAATAATTTTTGAAATTTACAGCTGCTTCCTTTTTTTTTATTCTAAATCTAATTTTACAATATTAAAAAAAAATAGAAAATTTATCTAATCTTTTTATCTATATTAACATTTTTTTTTTAACAATTATAATATTAAAATAGTTAATGGTAATAAAATTCAATGACAACGTTTTTCAAAATAATTATGTAGAATTGTCTAGATTAGATTAAGTGTGTGTGTGTGTAGAAAAAAACAAATTATTATTGAGCCTTAAATGTAGCATAACTAGTCATAAAATTTTTATAATATTGACATAAAAATTTGATAAAATGTTTAATCATATTTTTATTATTTAATAATTTGGTATTTGAGGGTTTTACAAAATATGCTTTTAATTGATTTTATTTTGTCACCTTTAATTACTCAAAATATTAATTTTGCGTCCCTAATAAGGGGGCTCATTATAATTTTAAAAGTTTTAAATTAAAAACAAGGTCTCTGAATTTTCTAAAATTTTTTTTTCGAAATATTTAAAATTATTATTACTTTAATTGCAATTATTATTGTTAAAATTTATATAAAAAATAATTTTTAATGTAAAATTTAAATTTTAAAATATAAATTAATTTAATAATTTTTTTCTTTTTCATTTCAGGTGAGTCACCAAAATTTCGTTTTAAAATTAATTTGAAATTGAATTAGAGTAAGTGTGTTATTAATAATCATAGCTCTATCCCGAGTAGAATAAGTATACTTACCCATAATATACTCATGAATATATACAAATAAGAAACTGCTGGAAGTGGAGAAAAAAAAAGACTTGCTATTCGACAAGAATGAAAATATCGGATAAAATTAGAATAAAATTGGGATAACTCACCATAAAAAAATAGGAACGAAACCTAATGATACTTCATATGCCTTCACTAAATTTCTCTGCAGGCAGTTCTGTAAACCATTTCTAGCTGTATAGCCGTATGATATTTGAGATTCTGTTAACTTTCCGATTAGAATAATCAGTATTCGAAATTGCAATATTATAATTTTTTTGTTTTTTTGTTATTTAATAATGGAGAACCATTATTAAATTTTATTAAATTCTGTGAAAAAATAAAAATTGCATCTCTTTCAAATTCTTTCTTAACCATTTTTTAATTCAATATATTAATTACTATACTTAGTGTCGTCCTTAAACAATATCATAAAAATTCATAAAGACTTGAAATAAAAAATACTAAATCTGACCCTATACCCTGAAAGCTAGCTATATTGAAAACATTTTGTTATACGGCAAACATTTGTTTATGTTTGAAAATAATTAGAAATGAATTGAAATTGCAATTACAATTAAAGCGGCCAAACTTGTTTTATAAATTTTTATAAATTAAAATTTTATTCAAGAAAATTGAATCACATAAAAAATTAATTAATTTCGTTCGTCTAAGTATGCACTTTTTTTTAGTCCAAGTTGTTAATGTGAAAAAATTTATGAATAACATTTTATGACGTAATTTTAAATTTAATTATTTTATTAGTTCAGAGTAGAATTAGTTTAGACTTAACAATAATTTATAATTTTTATTTTGTATGGCGCCAATTCTTTTGTATATGGAACAAATTTATAAAATAAAGAAAATTGTTAAATTAAGTACTTATTCTTACTTACAAAATTTAAATTTTAACAAATAATTTTTTTTTAATGGAAATTTTTTATTCAAATTTAACAAATTTATTAATTTTTAATTAGCATTTGTGTGCTAAAATGTAAATGAAAAAAGTAATTTTTTTATTTACTCAATTTAGTTATACACTGTTACATACATAAATATGTGATTTTGAATTTATTTTTAAATACGTATATATATGTACGTAATATGCAAGAATTTTTAAATTTTTCATCATAAATTTTATTATGTAAGTTAGACCGGTTTGTTATAACTATATAATTGCCGACCGCAATAAAGAACGTAATGTGATGACACTAATTTTCCCATATCGAGTTTTCGGAAAAGTTTTGTATTTTGTTCTTCTAGGTATGTTAACTAAAGCCTTACTAGTGTCCTTAAAATATGAAAGAAGTATTCAAAAGGCCAATTCATAATTTTATGCAACATATTCGATAAACTCGACAATACACCTTGTGGTTGGTTATCTGCTGACTTGATGAGATTTTTGTTTATTATATTAATTCAGGTTAAATTTAATTTTTGATGAATTAAGGAGTGTATAATATAGATTTAATTTTTTTTTTAATTAGTAGAAGTTAAGTATGCCGAAAATTCGGGAATGTAGAAGTATGCACATACAACAAATCTAAAATCTTTCAAAAGTACACCCAGTGCAGAAAAAACATCTTTCAGCAGAAGAAATCTTTCATAATTCATTGTAGAATCGAAGAATACTATTCAGAGAATTGCATTTTGCCATTTCAGTTAAGTTTTCACTTCTATTTAATGATTTGGGAGGCTATTATAAGATATGGTTGTTGGTAAACTTGTTTTTCTTAACCGACTACTGAGGGATTTAAAAAAATTATTATAATTTTAATAGAATTTCTAAAGAAAGTAAAGTGCGTGGTTTTTTTCTGAGTGTACTTACATTTATCTCCATGTTCATATACAGAATACTTGCACACATGTGTATGAATGTGCATAACGACTTGCTTATTACTATGTTAATAACAATTGACTTTAAAGAGCTTAAAATGCGGATATTTAAAAGCAAAAATTATGGAAAAAAAAAATATATAAAAAAATGAAAAATTCGGATATGACAAATCTTCATTTTAAAAAATGTTCATGTTCTTTTGAAAACAATGGAAAAAACAAGAATTAGAAGCAAAAAAACAGCAACAGCAAAAATGTTGAAATCAAAAAAAGAAAACCTGTTAAAAAAAACCTTACCTCCATTTCAGTAGGAAAAAAAAAGATAAAGAATTTTTTTTTTTAATTTTTTACATTTTATTTTTAAAATAAAAAAAAAAGTCAAACAAACAGAGAACGTTTTTAGAAAACGCAATGAGTTGATAAAAAACAAAAAGCAAAAATAATTCTTCAATATACAAGAGAATATAGGAACCAAAAACAACGGCAACAACAACAGCAACAACAAGACAGAAGAAATTGTTAATTCTAAATTTAGTAAAAAAATAAATGAAAACAAGAAGAAAATCAAAATAACGTAAAATCCCATAACTTTATTTCATAACCGTAAAATTTTTTATTTATTCGTTGTGTGTTACGTACATTGATGCAAAAGAGAAAAAAAAGAACGGTAAAAATTGTGTTGTTGTTAATTTGAAAGCAAGCAAATAAGCAGAGAAACACAAAAAAAAAGAAGTGTGTATAAAAAGAATCAAAAGAATTAAAGAAAAGGTTGTTGCCTTTCACATTTTCTCTTCATCTTACAATTTTACATACTAATATGGTAACTTTTCTCTTCTTTCTCCTCTTAAAACAACCGAAACCGAAACCATCTGCTCTGCTTCTTTACTTCTTCCTCTGCCACACAAAATTTTACTTTTCTTTTTGTAATTTTGTACTTTGTTCTCTGTTAAAACTCTCTTTTTTTTGCAACTGTTTTGTAGCAGACAAAAGTGTTTGCTTTTTATGGGTTCTTGGGATTTAAAATTCCTGTTTTAAAATATTAAATTTACAAAAAAAATATTCTGTAAGTATGTACATATGTATGTGTGTATATGAAATATTTCGCAAAAAAACAAAATTTCTGACATTTATACGGGTCATAAAATTGTGAAAGAAAGAAAAAAGAAAAATCACGAAAATTTGTTCTAAAAAAAGAAAGAATAAAAGAGAACGAATGAAAATAATAATTAAAATTTTTTTAAATGAAATAAAAAATAAATATAAGATAGAAATGATAAAGAGAAGAAAAGTTGTACCTGTACACCTACATACCTACATAATATTACGTTGCCCATTAAAATACCGTAGGATTATAAGCAAGTAATTTGCACATATTTGGCAATTCGAACTTTTCGTTCTTTTTCTTTTATTTTCTTTTTTAAGGATTCAATTGATTGTTTAAATAATGAATTTGAAATTATGAAGAAGTGAGCTTGTAAATTTATTCTTTTCGTCATCACCTTCCCAAACCAACCGATATTGTTTCAAGCAGTTTTGTGTCACATAAAGAAGTGTACAGTTTTGAAATATTTTTTAATTGCTTTATGGAATTTTAAAATTTTGGAAATTTAATTTTTCATTTGTTGGTAATTTATTGTTTTACATTATATGCTTTAGAAGTTTATGATTGAATTAATTTACTTTAGTTAGAGTGTAAAATTGTTTTTGTAATTTATTTTAATTTTTTAAAATTTTGTATGTTTTAAAAATTGCAGGCTGATATTATGTATTATGTAATAAACGACCATAAAGGTATAAAATTTTATTAATTGATATTATAAATGAAAATAAAATTCATTTTTTCACTCCTTAATTACTAATTTACTTTGTAGAGTAGAATGTGAGTTTTCTAACAAAAATTACCTTAAATGAATCTGCTGTTCATAAAAGATATGTAAGTACTTTGTGAACTCAAAACGTTAGAAATTATTGTGTCAGCTTTGTCCTCAAAGAATTGACTCGTTGCTTTGGATACGCACATCAAAAATATAAAATTCAAATTACGAAAATTGAAAATATTTTTAATACAACTTTGTGGTAAGATACATATACTCCTCATTTGAAAGTACAAAAAAATTTAGCCGCTACAGAAAAATATAATGTTATATGTGCAGGTGCTATGTATAAAAAAGTACAAATCGGTAACCATTATCATTTAAGTCAGAAATAAAGAACAAATCCGTAGTCATTCGTGCTTTCCTTTAGAGGACAATGTTTTATTTTCTTTCTTAATTAAATAATAATTAGTATTTAATATAAGTAATTTACATAATTTGGTATTTTCGAATTTGAGAAATTTAAACTTAAAATCGACTATGAAAGTGATAATTAAAACTTAGTCATCATATAAAATTACACGTAAATCAAAAATACACGTAATAATACTCTAAATCTCTATAATTTAATCTAATCAAAAATTAAATATTAATCAGTAGCTATAGCTGGTTATTTTAAATTATAACATTAAAAAAAATTATTTGATAAGAAGAAAAATAATTTTCACATTGTAAAAGATAACCATTTTATTTTTTTTTTCGAATAATTATTTCCATTTAATTTAAAGTATTCGGACATTAAGAATAAATAAAGGTTTTCGAAATAATCTTCTAATAATCAATCATAACAATTTTACGTTTTGTTCTATAATAATTTTCTATTTTAATAATTAATCATCACTGAACAACTAAGAAACTGGTTAAAATATGAATTTCATTTATGAATTTATTGTAGAGTATAAGGTCTATAATTTTTTTATGTCTGTCAGTCTGTCATTGTGTCAGCTTCAATTTAAGAAGCATAAATCAAATTAAATATTATGTAGCTTATATGTATTATCTATTGTGTGATGTGTGTGAGTATGTAAGCATGTCGCCAGCATATTATTGCTAATTGTTTATTATGCAATTAAAAATAAAAATTCAGACTTGTATGACATTCAATTTTATGACATAAAATTTTCCAAACCAAAAATTTTTATTATTGTTTTGGTTTTTAAATTTTTCTCTTCAATTCGAATCTGAAATTAAATTGTTTTAAAATGAAATTTAAAATGATATTAAAAATATTATAATTGTTTATTTTTGAATTGTATACAAATTTTATACACCGAAATTTAATATTTTCCTTAAATAAATTTAAAGCACTCCGAACAGTGCTCTCTTTCTCTTATGATCGAAACTACGTACATATGTTTATGATTTTATTTACATTTTAAAACTATTACGTACGTCTCTTTGCTCTCTAATTGTCATTATCTCAATTTTATTTTTCATATGCTTTGATTTATGTACTTATGTTTAAAATAAAAAATCAATTTTATGTTCACATAATAATATTAATGTGCAAAATATATCTTTAAAAATATTTATGTATGTCGGTATGCAAAATGCATGTGTTGTGAATATAAAATAGTCACGTAATGACAGCAACAAAATAAAATGTATACGAGAGCAGTAAAATTACAAAAAAAAAAAAACACATACTACAAAATCACTCATGTGAATTTTTTTTTTTTTTGGCACGTTTTACTCTAAACATAAATAACACATTGCATACGTAAAATAAAAAAAAAAGAGAAAGAACAAAAGTTCAATAATCAACGAGAATTCATCAACTAAAAACAATACACATACACACAATACAAACATAAATAATGTGCAACTGCAATATATTTTTTGTTTTTCACTTACAAACGAAT